TTTGCTGTGTAATGGTGAATAGACTGCCATGGCATTGTGCCAAAGAATAAAACATTTCAGGAGAAGATGACAAGAAATTCTTGTTTAACAGTAAATGGAATTAGCAAAGGGAGACGCAGGGAGTAGAAGCTTAAGAGGACAGAAATAACATCATACCCTGAGAATTAATTTCCCTGAGATGTCTTGCAATGCAGAGAAAGTCACTTCATTTTCACAGTAGGTTTCAGGTTAAATGCTATTTAATGAACCAGTGAAAGCAAAGTTTTTAAAGCTTCATTATACTTTAAGTCTACATAGATAGGCCACTTGATAATGCCATCTAAATAAATGAAATATCCAAGAATTATCAATTATATGAAGCTTTCATTGCTAAAAAAAAAAAAGAAGCTCATTCAAAACCAATTTAGCATTATCAGGGCAGTGACAAACAAAGCCTCTGTGACAGGACATTAATTTTTATTCTCATTTTCAACTAAGAGATACTTATAGATCAAGGACAGCTGCTAGCCCACATACATGTACATAGGAAGGGTTTTGTATCAAGTTTGATTACTGGGCCACCTAGTTTGGCATTGTCACACCGACTGGTAAACATCCGCAAGATATCAGGCAAGAATCCTGCTCAAATTTATCTGGATATCCCAAAGACTGAACTTCATTGCTGCATGTAGCTCAGTAGTATCTTCAGAGAAGGTATGAAAAAAAAAAAACAACCCCTTTTTCTTTTTACCCCTTGCAGCCTCTCAAGTGAAGACATGAGGAAAAAGATAGAACTGTATCACTGATTACACATCCAGAACTTGCAAGTTACCCCTACAGCCATTTAGGAGCATACTTTTAAAAAACAAAACAAAAAAGGCAAAAGAAGTATCTATTTGCATGTTCAAATAGATAAAGAACTAAGAGAAATGGGTGGGGGAATGCTAATGTTGTTGCTAGAGGGGACAGAAGAAAGGAAGAACAGAGACAAAAACACACTGGAGGGAATGACATGTGAGATCCTGTGGCCAGATGCAGCTGATGTCTGCAGTAGCTGTGACATACCCACAACCCTCAACAGCTTTATGGTGTTTCTGATATAAGCCAACCTGCGCAGAAGGACAAATATCATTTATTAAAATCTTTAAGGCCAGCAGGACTTCTTGTTGACAATAGGAAGAAAGACAACACAAGGCATTATGTGACTGAACTAAAAAAGAAAATCTATTGCAAAGAAACCCACAGTAAAATACCTCTTAATCCAGCAATAGCAATGTGTGTGGAATGAAATATGAACATTAAAACATCAAAGTAGCCTTACAGCATAGCCTTAATGGAAGAGCAAAACCACAGACTGGTAATTGAGCTTCTTTTCCCTACTGGTATAGCTCAGAAGTGACTATTTTAAAGAAACATCAAGTAACATATATAATATAGACCTATATATCAAACTCCTGCATCAACCATTCCAGCTTTAAGTGGAACCTGAAGGTGTCTGAGGCATTATTTACACTTCATCTATTTATCCATACCGCCTCTAAAGGTAATTTTTAAAAACATTATAAATGGGGAAGAAGGTTGTACTTATCTGCTGGCATCCAAAACGTGAGGTAAATCCATTTCAAAACACTGTTTAAGGGAGTGATGGTGCAAAAAGGAGAACAGATTGCTTAGGCACATATAGCAACTCTTCTCTCTTTGCAGTTTGTCCCTAATAGTGTTGGGAAAGCCGGCAAGAAGTCAGAAGTCATGGTCACATGAAATTCTCACTTAATGACCCCATACAGTTCTCATTTAACAATGCTAACTGGGAATGCCAGAACTGCTGCAGTGTGGTAACATGACACAGAACAATTAATCAATGGAACAGCTTGCTGTAGTTGTGGTGGGTGCTTCATCACTGGAGGTTTTTAAAAACTAGACAGTCACTTGTCTAGAATGGTATAGGTTCTCCTACTTGAGCAGGGGGCTGGACTAGAAGACCTTCAAGGTCCCTTCCAGCTCTATTCTGATTGATTTAATTGCTTCAGTTTGTGATGGAAATTCCAGTGCCAATAACAATCAGTAAGGAAGTTTACTTGTACACATAACACTAGTTGCATTTTGATATCTATGCTACTGAGTTTATGCCACTGAGTTATGCCATGCCACTTATTTTACCTATTATGAGTAGCCTTATTCCTGTAGGACACACAGAAAGAAGGCTAAGCTATTAGCTCAAAGAGTTTACAATCAGAACAACAAAATACAGGCTAATGCCCAAACAGAGGTACTATGCCTATTTTTTTATACAAATCAAAATCTGCATTTATTTAATTAATTACTGGAAAGAAAAGGCACTTCTCTGAAAAAAAAATCTATGGATGATTACTCTTAATTCAGATAATGTGCAGATGATGCCAACAGCCTGCAAGATAGATGGGGCTGCGAGAGAGTGACTGGCACAAACCTACCTCTAGAAATTTCATGGCTGAAGGTGGATTGAACCTGGGTGACCCCAGTTGTCAACCAATATTTCATTCCCCACACTTTCACTTTATAAAATTTCTAGCTTAATGCTTCAAAGCAAGTCCTTTGCACTGCACTTTGAAGAATCTGCTGCACTGTAGCTGCAGAAAGAAAAGTATAATAGGATGAATCAAAGCAGCCTATATTCAGATGATGCAATATGGCAACAGTCTCTAGAAGAAAGTGATGTTGGATGCTGCCAAGTTTCAAATTAGCTCCCTGCTTCATTAAAAACAGCAGTGCTGTTGACAAATTCCCCCCACGTCTTACCACCCACATCACCCAGTGGAGGCAGAGAAGCCCAACAATTGTTTATTTCTGTTGCTTCCTGCTGTTTTTTTTCTTTTGAAATTTCTTGTCTTCTGAAAAGAATTCAGGAGGGCTAAGGACTCCTGTTAACATTGATTCCAAGATAACAGCTATTATTCAGACTGTAACTGAGATTTTATGTTGCTATATAGCAGAGGTGTGCACATTTTCCAAGCCAAGGGCTGGCCTTGATCTGTAAATATTGTGTTGATCATACAGTACAAAATTTAGTGTCATGCCATGCAATTTAACATTAGCATATGTTTACATTAGAGAAGGTAACATGATTTTCTCTCAAGCAGTGATAGCAACTTTTAGAGGGCATTTGTGAGCTTGTCCCAAGCCTCTCCATAGACTACAGCTGCCAAAAAAAGCTAATACAATCCTTGGTTTTATAAACAGAAGCATAGAATCAAAATAATGTGAAGTATTAGTACCCCTTTACAAATCCTTAATAAGACCACACCTGGAATATTGCATCCAATTTTGATCACCAAATTACAAAAAAAGATGTTGAGACTTTGGACAAACTGCAAAGAAGAGCAGCTAAGATGATTAAGGGCTTAGAGACAAAAACATAAGAACAGTTGTAGGAATTGGGTATGGCCAGTGTAAACAAAAGAAGGACTAGGTGTGACATTATAGCAATATTCCAATGTTTGAGGGGCTACCACAAGGAAGAGAGGTTGAACTTATTTTCCAAAGCACCAGAAGGCAAGACAAGAAACAGTGGATGAAACTACTGAAGGAGACAAGCAACCTGGAATTAAGGATAAACTTTCCAACAGTGAGGACAATTAACCAGTGGAATAGTTTGCCTTCAGAAGTTGTAGGTGCTTCATCACTGGAGGTTTTTAAGAAAAGACTGGACAGCCACTTGTCTGAAAAGGTATAGGGTCTCCTGCTTAAACAGTGGGTTGGACTAGAAGACCCCCAAGATCCATTCCAGCTCTATTCTGATTGATTGATTGGTTCTGAAGTACCAGTTGCATAGATGGTCTGTGAATGGTCTGGAAGAGTTTCCCAACCTCCCACTCACTTCAGTATATACCAGTGGTGGCTAACCTTTTTGGGCTCCTGTGCCAAAAATTGCATGAGCATTAACACACGTGCACTCATGTGCCAGTACCCCAAATGCAATGTGCACCCTTACACCTCCTGTGCATGCACGCCCATTCACCCCCATGACCCCATTACCTGCACTGTACCTCATAGCTGATTTTTCAGCTGGTCTGAGGCCTTTTTCGGCCTCTCAGAGGCTTGGAAAAAGCCTATGCAAGGCTTTTCAGGATGAATAATAGGCCCGTTATGTCACTTCCAGAATTACAGTAAGTGATGAAACAGGTCTATTCATCCTGAAAAGCCTTGCAGAGGCTTTTCCAAGAAAAAGGCCTCAAACCAGCTGAAAAATCAGCTGTGAGGTGCTCTCATGTGCAGTGAGGTAAGCTTGCCTGCGGCTCGCATGCCAGCACAAATGGCTCTGTGTGCCACTTGTGGCACATGTGCCATAGGTTCACCATCATGGGTATATACATATCTAGATAATATACATCATGCTGTTCTCTTTAAAAGTAAGAAGCATTATGCATAGTCCAGAAAAGGGGTAAGTAATAGAAAACAACATCCATTAAAGATACGTGGTAAGAAAAGGAAATACACACACACACACATATGCACATGTGCACGTACACACATACACACAGAGGAAAGAAAAAGAGTAAAAGTGCAGAGAAGAGAGAAGGAGAAAAAAAGATAGAAAAAATGACCTGACTTTCTTTAATAAGGTACATATGTCAAGTCTTTTCATTTATGAAGGTTGTCAATTTTGCCACCTCTGCTAATTCTCTAGCTTCACAATTTATTCTACCATTGCTGATATTTGTAGTCCTTCCACCTTTAAGCTTATATAAGTCTTGCTGCATTTAGCATACATAAAAACAGAGTCCCATAGTATTTTTCTATTTGTTTGTTCATTAACTCCAAAAGAAAAGCATCTGGCTTCATTTATACATTCCCTTTTAAAATCTTCTGCATCAAAATATATACCATGTTTCCCCGAAAACAATGATAATTGTAATTTTCCCATTTTAGCATTTCTTTTTTAATTTCATTCCATAACTTCACAGTTATTTTTGAAAAAACATGCAATTCATATTAGTCAAATTAACACCCAAAAAGAAAAAAAACCAAGAGAGTCCACTTGCCTTCTGGAAATCACCTTTAGGACAATCATGACCTGGATGAATGAGAATCTCCATAGATACTATGTATGAATGAGTCACATGACAGTGAGATAGGTGCAAAGAAAGGAAGGAAGAAAAGAAAGAAAAAAAAGGAAAGAAGGAAAAAAGAAGGAAAGAAAGAATAAATGAATACAGGCACTATGATTTGTAAAACAGGTTATAGATAAAGCAGATCGTCACGGCTTATTTTTATAACTGAAATAAATCTTAGTTTAGAGAAGTGGTTGGATGTAGCTGTTAAGATGTTGGCTTAGAAATCAGGAGACTCAATGTTCAGCTAGGTGACTAGGGCCACTCATTCTCACTCACAAGGTTGTTGTGGGTAAAATAGGAGGGAGATGTGTTGGAGATGTTCACCGCCTTGACCTATTTGTAAAAATAGTAAAGGTGGGGTGCAAACAAACAAACAAATGATAAGTTATTTGAAAACCTTTTCTACAAAATTCAAAGTGGGAATCTCTTTCAGATTTATCTCAAGGGGTCAAGGCTTGATGTGGGGGTGTTTTGTTTTGTATTTGTATTTTATTTATTAAATTTGTTTCCTGCCTATCTCACCACAAGGTGATTCCAGAAGGCATAATGCATTTACTAAATTGACATATTCATCATTTTTATGCTGCATGTTTTTCCAAGAATTGGGTAACTTGAGAAAAAATAAAATAAAAGGATAATGACAATATGATTTATTCCATTTTTATTCAAACAAATAAACTCTTGGGAGTTTTGCCTCCCATAATACTTCCTTCTTATTTGTAATAGAGTTTTGGTGGACAGATGATATTTCAACTGAACGATGCAAAGGATTATGATTTGGGGGGAAACAAACATCAGAACTTTTAAAAATCTGATGGCAGACAAAACAATACACAATGTTATTGTTATCTGATGAAATAAAAGTCTAATAAAGTGAAGTAATAAAAATGGTGAGGTGGAGAGACAAAGAATGCTGCAAACCTCATCATGTTGCCCAGAGAGCCAACCATCTTTCTCATCCCAATCAGACTTGGAATATAGGAATGGCCTTGATAGAATATTCCTTTCTGATGCTTGAATGGAAGCTCCGACTATCACTGATGAACATATGAATAACAGCAAAGTTTAACACACACCCCTTTCAAAATGGTAGATATGAGATATTTTCAAGAGCTCCAAAGTTCCTTTATCAATGTCTCCTTGAACTGAATAGCAAGATTAAAACATAGCACTCCCTCTGATATATTTTGTTAGTGCTAGCAGTGAATACAAACAAAGGCTTGTGACCCCTAGCATCCACCCTACAAACCATAAAAAATAGATGCAGAAATATATGACATGGCAGCTTTACAGGCAACTCAAAGAGATAAAAATGAGACCTTCAAACCCAATTGAATTGCACCTATATGTTGCATTCTCTTCTTTTTGATGGGCTGGAGTTAAAGCAAAAGGAATGCCAAATTACAGTCCCATTATCCTTTCCAATTCATTTTTGTTGTCTTGCTACATAAAAACTGCATGAGAAAAGCAGAAAATACATTAATATTTGAAGGAATTTTAAAATTTATTTTTATTTATTAGAGGGTCCTGTCCTACCATTCCTAATGATTTTGCACCATTCTGAACATTTTGTAACAATTTAAAACTGTGATACAATATAAAACAATGCATTTAGTAAAAAGGAAATAATATAGAAGAAGAGAAAATTATGAAGATTAAAAACTACAATCAAAGGATCTGCATGTAGTAGGAAAAATCCTGCCAAAAAAAAATGAGTCCCCACAACTTACAAAAACAGACATGGGGTCATCTGTCAATCATACCTATATTCTTTGTGGAAGACGGAACTTCCAATGAGACAAGGAAAACTAGTGGCTGTATTTTCTCTGCTCCATCCAGAGAGCAGAGTATTTCAGCCTTAAAGGCAGCTGGATGTCTGAAAAGAATGCATCAGTTCTAGAAAGGTAGTATTAATAGTAATAGGTGTAACTTTCAAGCATTGTATAGTTTTACATTTTTCATTTGCATAGTTTTAATGTTTTAATTAATTTTTATTTTGTCTTTTTAGAATCTGAATGCCTTACAGGGGAGATTGCTAGTATAAAAATTGAATGAATAAATAATTAAATCAATTACAATAGTGCTCATGAGAAAGCCCTTTAAGTGGATTCCACATTTTCATGCATGTTTCTAGCACTATACAGTCATTTTTCTGGTAGAACTGTATCAAGCTGTTCACACAGTGTCTGAAGGAGTATCCTGGGTAGCCTAGTTGACTATTCTTCAGATCTGTAGATGAATTCAATTGCTGAACTACATTTGCTCCTGTGCTACTTATGCTACTTACATACACACATAGATCCCCCACTCAAATTACCACTCAAAAGAAGCTTCGTAACTTTGAGTCCTAATGTTAACTGATATTGGCAGATTTGAGTACTTACAAGAGTAAAGATGCAAGAGACACATATTAATATTAATGACACAACGGTTCTTAATTATAGGTGCTTATTCCTTATTACTGTCCTGTGTAATCATAAGAAAACAGGTGATAATTCCAGAACAGTTTAATCAACTATAGGGTAGTATCCACTGTCTATAACAGCAATGAATAAAATTTTAGAGGATGCAATCACACTTAACATTTTACAGTGATGGAAGGCTACAAATGTGGCTCCAAAGTGGGTAGGTTTAGGAGAAAAAATTATTCATGTTTTTTGTAAAACTGTTATACAGCTTCCATTATTAATTTACAGGTGTATTCCATCCCAAAATGGAGGAAAATGGCATCAACAATTTCAATCAATAGTTGTCACAGAGAGTGCCATAGCCATAAAGAATGGATGTGGTCAGGGGTTACCTAACTTGTTTTTACAGCTATGATTTTAATCACTCATAAACTTGCGCTTTCAATTATAATTTTGCATTTAGATGAGCAACTAAAGATATTTCATTATTAAAAACCCAGCTTTTATAAAACAAATAGGTAGAAGATTATTATATTCTTATATCAAATTATAAATGATAAACTGTCAGCGTAGATCAAGTATAGAAAGAAGTAACCTAAGTCAAAAACTAAAGATTGCAACTGGCTTATAGAACCTACAATTTAGTAATAATCTACATGTTGTAACTCTGGATGTGTCCTAGATTTGATCTATACTGACATCTACTATAGTTCCTGTTCCAAATCCATATGCCCTTCTGGAGGATGGTTGATACTAAGTTGTCTTTCCATCACATCGTCACAAACCTTCCAAACATGGACTGTCTCATTACTCACTTCCAATGTTTGTTGCTGCTTTGGCAATGCAGAATTGAACAATACAGGTGGAGGTTAAAATCCTACTATCTTTGAGATAGAGGATGCTTAAATATGGGGGGGGGGTGTCAAATCTCTGCTTGCACATACAGTTTTTAGAAAGCAAGGTACGTTACATCTTCTCTTCTCCCCCTTTCTCCTTCTCATTTGCAAAGTGAGATGCATAGCAACCCTTCCAGGTTGCAGTAAACACAGAAAGAAGAATTTGTAAATGACACCGTGCCCAAAATATAAAAGCAATAGTAGCTATAAATACCATACAATATCATATTTCTTTCCTACCTATTTAGATATAACCTGGCTTGCTTGTATGAGTCTCTCAAGTGCATCTGTCCTTTGTCTGTGTAATATTATACTCCAGATTTTGCAGTATATATGAACTGGGAATGGTGCAAAAGAGTCCTGCATCTTTGAACTTTCTGCTACCTTTTTTCTTATTCTGCGTTTCTATAAATACATAATCAGATTGTAAGGAGGCTGGGGGGGGAGCAAAACAGACCTTTCAACTCTTTAAAGCTGTTCACAAGTTTTTCTTTTTCAAGCAGATTTGGTAGGTCTATTTCTCTATTCCTCTCTCTTTTCCCTCTTCCCTCTTTTAAATTCTGGCTGACTTTCATCACTGAAACCTGATGCAGAGAGTTACTTTGTATTCTAAAGGCGTTATTTTAAGAAGAAACAATGCAAATTTTGATTTGGATGGCAGATGGCTGGCAGTTCACTGCTTGGCAGTGCAACATGTATTCTGTGTTAGAAAGTCAGAGCAGCAGGTAGTGCAGCTCCATTTGAAACAATCACAGATGCTAGGAAAGGAGCGGGGGAGGGGCACAAGCTGGTCAGGAAATTAAGAACAGTAGTGAGACTCACAGGGGGAAAGAGAGAGACCATCATTAACTGAAAGTTTCTTTTTTTCAATCAGCACTTTGTTTTTGTTTTTTTAAAAAAGTGTGCACACACACAAAAGTGAACAGAGTGATAAAAATCAGGCCCCCTTTGAGTTCAGTGGCTGTCAAGTTGTTTCTAGAAGTCTGAGGTCTATGTACATTGGGCAGCCTTGCTTTTAAAAGGATGGTACTAGCACTAGGGATGGGACAATTCATAGATAAATAATGAGGATCAATTTGGAAATGTTCCTGTGGTTTATTTTTCTCTTAAGGCTTTTTCTTACTGAACACAGAACATAGATAACAGAGTTCTTCTATTCCAATGCCAGAGGTCTTCTGTTCCAACCCACTGTTCAAGCAGGTCACTCAATACCATTTCAGACAAATGGCTGTCCAATTTCTTCTTTAAAAGCCTCCAGGGATGGAGCAGCCACAACTTCTGAAGGCAAGCTATCCAATGGTTAATTGTTCTCACTGTTAGGGATTGAGTTGCATTATAGATCTGTACAGATCCAAAGAAAATTCCTTTTGCGACAGAGATTCCTAGGTGTTTCAAGTACAGAACTACAAATGATGTGAGATTGAAGATGGCAGAGCTTCAGGAAGTGGATAACACTTCTTACCATGTGCTGCATGTTCTCCCACCAGCCCTAAAGATCTCTGAGTGCAGTTCCTGGAAGATACTTTTCATGTATAATTTTGATTTTAGGGAAGAGTTGGGTTAGGACACTGTACAACTTGATGGTAGTGGACTGGAAGTATGCAAATACCAAAAGCACAATTTGGATTGGGAGCCATCTTGATTTAACAGGATCCCATTTAAAATGAGAATA